TCAATTACAACATTAAATATTGCCGAAATATATCAATCAGAATTAGATCATTTCAAATATATCTTTGTTGATAAAAGAGACGAAAATCTGTAACCACACATAAATTGTTTTCAAACACAATGGGAAGTAATTTTCTTAGCCGGTTTCGTTGGCCTGTCAAATTGAGACAACTCCGGCCCGTCATTACCGCCCAAACTGATGGCGACGAATACTATGTTGGTGTATGAATGCCCATTAAATTAGCTTCAAACCCATTATTAGCAATATATTAAAGCCAACGGTTCTTGATGTCTCCATTGGCTGCTACCTGCAAGACGGCTTAGAGGCTTCAATGTAATACCACCTGAAATGGTAACGGAGCGGAAACAGCTTCGAATATTCGCGGTTGTGCAAAAACCTCGTTTGAATCTGGGCGCGGTGTCATGTCACGCTATCGCAAAAGATTAGGTTTCGTTTTTTCCTCGCGCGCCGACAAAGAGGGCGAATTCAAATTGCGGCCTGCCATCGCGCCCTCCACCCGTGCGTGTGGACGGTGCGTTTAGAGCAGCTACGACCAATCACACCGCCCCCTCCCGCCCCAAGGGCAGAAGCGTAGCGTGAGGGGAGTCACGGTAGGCAATTACACCTTCTAAAAACATGCAAAAAAAGATTAATACAATATGATATTTACTGAGTGAATTATTCGGGAAATGTTACTGATTTATTTGAGATTTTGGGTGAAACAACTGCTAAGGGCATTAGTCCCGTATGCGAAGTTCATGTTTTAATCAGGAGAGGTGGCGGTGATCATTCCTCCCCCCTGGTTGGTGAGATCCGACCTACGTCGGCTAGCGGGGATTTCCCAACATGTGTGATAGTGTAGTGTGAGTATGTAAGTAAAAGGTGAGGATATGACAAGGAAGATGAAGGAAAGAGCGCGCGCGTCCTCGGCCCATTTGTTAGATTACTGTTCCGGTATTCGCTTCGTGTTGATAGGAGTTAATGTCGAGTGATGTAGTTAATGTCGAATATCCTACCAGCATCGGGACTTGAACGCTTGAGCCTCCTATTACAAGGAACTACAGTGAAATCGGTTTAGAATAGAAGTAAAGCAACATTGCCATCATCGGCACAATAATAATAATAATATCTTTATTGATATGGCAATATGGCACTAAGACGAATAAATATTTTTATTACATTTCCCTTAAAGTGCTTTGTCACTGTACTGCATTATTTAAGACTTCTGTTGTATTCACACGTCACACGACAGGTCAGTAAACTTCCGTTTTCCAGATTTAAATTAGCAAGCATAATGCTTAATATCAACTGGGAAAAAATCTGACTTTGTTTGCTTAGAAATGTAGAAAAATGCACATTTTTATTGGAGAAATTAGTGCACAGAATAATAATTAAAAGTCTCCTACGATCGGTCATGAACTGCAGGATCTCCTTCCGGATAAGTAAATGACTCTCCGCATAAAAGCGGCGCTTTGCGTCTCGACAATGCGGTTCGAGTCCCCATGGTGGCAAGATTTTCGATACCAGCAATGTCGAATTCAGTCGCTGCTTGGAGGCGCATTCTAGCGACCGGCTGTTCTGATCAACATCTGGCGAATGTCAGAGCATTACCCTATCAAACGAGCCACGCACCGCACGCGATCTTTCCTTCCTCCTCATTGTTCTTTCTTCCCTCCTTTCCCTTACTTACTTACTTACTTATACACACACACACACATGCACACCTACTACCACACACGTCGGGAGACCAGATGGGAGTTTGTGGCTTGTCCCCACTGGAACGGAGCTCCACTGGTGGGAAACACCTGGTTGGAGAACCCCCACAAGTCGACGGGGAGTTTGGCGCCGGATCTCACCATCCAGCGGGGGAAGATCTTCACAGACACCAGCGTATGCACATGCACTACATTTACGGACTAATATTAGAAGTTGACGATCCCTTCACCGGTTCCTTTTGGGCCAGACGAAAGACTAACACCGTCTCTAGCGGTGAAAGCCCTGCTGTGTGATCGCGACACCACGTTTCCAAGGTTTCAACCGCTTGCTACTTCCTTCCAGCGATGAGGTGTCTGCTGTCCCCAGCGCCGAATCTCCGGTGGTCGTCGGTGCCGATCGGTTGCCATGGGAGCCGCTCCGGCCGGGGCCGCGTCGGGAGCGGAATGCGGCGTGGGACATGGCGCGGGCGCCCCGCCAGCTCAGCGGTGGGCGGGACGGGGCGGAATGGGCGGGGCAGCCGGGGCGGCCGGGCGGGCGCGCGTTTACATAAGCAGGGCGCGCCGTCACCGCGTGGCGAATCACACATCATGCACCCCGCCGTCACTCTGCTTTTTTTACTACACAATCTTACTGTGGCATCTCCGTGAATAAATTGTTTTTATATTATTAAATTATGGCAGAGTTTTGAAAATTAGATTAGAAGTATACGATACAAAATGGTCTGTTGAGAGCTTAGGCTCCCGTGGCCACTGTCAGTACTTACTTGGCTGTCCGGAGATCCGTATCCAACGCGCAGGTGCCTCCCACAAATGCGTTTTGCCCTGCGGAAGGCCGCAGAATTGCGTCCGGAACTTTCGTTCCTGAGCTACGATGCGACGTTTCCCGGACAGCCAAGTAAGTACTAAGGTGGCAAGTTTCTCTCCGCAAAACTAGAGGCGTGAAGTGGCACCTCGATCGCCGCAAATGGTGGTCCGGAAGACGTTTGACCGTTAGTAAACAACTATCGGAGACACGGAAGTTATCCGATTACTACCTAGAGAATACGCATTTCCTGGGGCGACCCGTGTGATAAGAGGTCAAACTTCTCGCCTTTAATCGCTGGAGTTGGGCTGCTCGATCCGTACGGAACTTGAGGTTGTCAAAGCGGGTTCCTTGCAGATTTTTCTCCGGGTTCTCCCGTTTCCCCTGTCTTTGTTTCACCATTTCTCCATCGTAATTCACTTCATATCTACATTATCCGCCTGGAATTGTTTGATGGAAATTCGTGGCGTGGGTTAAGGACAAAAAGTATGGCACCGTGTTATTACTGGTCAACTAATGGCTACTGAACGCTAGGAGAGTATTGGGAAATGGTTTTAAACGAACACAGTTCGTGAAGCAGATAATATATTTTGGAAGGAGAAAAAGAAGAACAAGAAGAAGCAAATCAATGCACGCCAGACTATATTTGCGGGAAACGTAAGGGAATAGTAGAGAAGGCTTAATGGGCGCGACTGCTGCTAAAGGGTTATTGCACGAGGCGCGAGAGAGGAAGGTGGCAGATAGGTGCAACTGCTCGACCGCAAATGATGTCATAAAAGCAAGCCGAAAATGAATAAGGAGACGACAGCGCGAATCCTATTTCAGAAAACAATGGCAAATATTTTACATTTTTCTCTTATTTATACTTGTTATTGTTATTATTTTTATAGACATCAACGTGGTAAAGATTAATATTTTGTTATCATTGAATATCAATGAAGATTGAATTATTCGTTGAATTTTTGTTTTGAAGTGTAACAGTTTAATTCACTTGTAAGCAACTTTCGTTGCTTTCGTGACAAATGCCCATTTGCATCTTGATCAGATGTGGCCAGTGGCACAGAGCACCATCTTTCCTGACCAAATCTGCATAGAATTCCGCACGCGGCTCAAAGGAACAATTGAGAGGCGGCGATGGCGAAGAGTGGCGGTCCGAAGGAGCGCGCGCGCGCCTTAGCAATGCAAAGGCAAAGCGCATTGAGATTCAGGCTGCAGGTGCCACTCATCGCATCGACGCCGCAGCGGTGGTCGCCATCGCCAAATGGGGCTCGCGCTGCGAACAATCGCCACGCACAGTGCACCACGCGCAGGGAAGAGGCGTAGTAGCAGGGAGATTTTGTAGACCCCTTTCTCCTCCTTTACCTCTCTCTACTCCTTCCCTACTCTTTCATCTCCTCCTCATCTTATTATTCTCTCCGCCCCTCCTCCTCTTCTTCTTCTTCTTCTCTCCGCCCCTCCTCCTCCTCTTCTTCTTCTTCTCTCCGCCCCCTCCTCCTCCTCTTCTTCTTCTTCTTCTTCTCTCCGCCCCCTCCTCCTCCTCTTCTTCT